GTGCAAGGCCCCCTGCGGAAGGAGCTGTTGGAGTCGGCGACGAAGATCTCCCTCACATACGTGGTGCTGCTTCTTACTGTTGGTTAGCAGGGAATGAGGGAGTTTGGGCCCTACTCTACCCCCCTTTAAGGGATTACATAGGGTACCTCATTCCCCCATTCCCTACTGACCAACAATAAAGGCTTGCCTCTGCGGCCACCACAGCGAGCCTCGAGGACCACCTGGCGCTTTGGAGGGGTGGCGTTCCCTTCTGGGATGCGACGGCGCACTTCATGGCCGTGGTTCTGGGCAGCTACACGTTTTTCGCAACAATCTGCGCCCAAGCTGTCATATCACTCTCGTTTGCCACGTCCCAGCGGCGGCCCATCGTGTTTGATTACATGATAACGGCATCCGTTCATGTGCTCTTCTGCTTCATGGCGGTCGTCGGCAATTTGATCGCAGTCGAGGCGCCCGGGATTCAGTGCAGGTGAGTCAGATGACGGATGCCTGAGCTGTGGAAATCTGTGCAACGTACCCTAAACCCTAAACCCTAAACCCCAAAACCTAAACCTGAACCCCAAGACCTAAATACCCTAAGCATGTGCATGCATGCAGACAGCTAACTCAAACTCTTCCTGGTCCCTTGGGGCGAGTTCCTGTTTCAGGGTACATTGCCTTTTTGGTCTTTCAAGAGGGGCCCCTCGAAGGGACCCTGAATCATATACAACCCCTATGCATACCTTATATAGTCCCTATATACCTAAGTAGCCCCCTAAATAACCCCTAAGGTCCCTTATAAGGGCCCCTCCTTTAGCCCCTTGACAAACCCCCTGGAAAACCCCACACCAGCTCTCAAGAGGCGTGCCGCTTAGACATCTGGGCAGCGGCCGCGTGGATGTGTACAACGGCCATCCTTCTGGGCGTGATCACCCTCACGCGCCCCAAGGCGACCTGACATGAGTAGTGCTCAGGGGCTGGCCTCGTTGCTCCAACGAGTGACCTTCCAGCCCTTTTTAAAAAAACCCTAAACCCCTAAACTTCCCTAAGAACCTTAAACCGCTAAACCCATTCAACACCCTAAACCCCTAAACGCCCTAAACCCCTAAACTCCTAAACCATAAAATCCTAAACCCCTAAACTTACTCGAATCCCCAACACCCCCCGTTGCCCCCTAAACCCCCTAAACCCGAAACCCTTAAACATCCACCCTGAACCCTAAACCCTAAACCCTAAACCCTAAACCCTCAACCCTCAACCCTCAACCCTCAACCCTCAACCCTAAACCCTCAACCCTAAACCCTAAACCCTCAACCCTAAACCCTAAACCCTAAACCCTAAACCCCTAGAACCGTCCTGGCCTGCTTTGGTGTGTTTGTTTGGAGGCTGCCACCCGTGTCACCGTCTCACCTCCGCTGAACAGAAGCCGAACCGCGGGCTTCCCACTTTTCCTATGTTTAGGGGTTCAGGGTTTTAGAGGTGTGGGGTTTAGGGTTTAGGGTTTAGGGTTTAGGGTTTAGGGTTTAGGGTTTAGGGTTTAGGGTTTAGGGTTTAGGGCTGAGGGTTTAGGGTTTTAGGGTCTTAGGGTCTTAGGGGCTTAGGGGTTTAGAGGGGTTTACGGCCTTAGGCGCCGGATCTCGGCTCCTACAACTAGTGCCTAAGCCCCCCTAAACCCTAAGCCCTAAACCCTAAACCCCCCTAAACCCTCAACCCTAAACCCCCCCTACACCCTAAGGGCCCACGCAGATCTCGGAAATGCAGAGGGCGGGCGCCACGAACGAGGCGCCATCTGCTGCTCTGCGGGGCAGAGTGGCCTCGTGCGGTCCTGAAAAAAGTCCCCGCAGGAGACCCCCTAAACCCTGAACCCTAAACCCCAATCCCTAAACCCTAAACCCCCTAAACCCGAAACCCGAAACCCGAAACCCCAAACCCCAAACCCCAAACCCTAAACCCTAAACCCTAAACCCTAAACCCTAAACCCTAAACCCTAAACCCCAAACCCCAAACCCTGAACCCTACCAGCGACAGCGCCTCACCACCAAATCGATCGACTTCTAGGATTGCTTGTAGGGTTTTAGGGTTTAGGGTCTAAACCCTCAAGCTCCAAACCCTAAACCTGATGCACGTCATATGTGCTGCTGTTGAGGTTTTTGGTTTGGATCTGTAGGCCTGTGTGCGTGCAAATCCTCGAAAATTCATAGGGGCCCACCCAGCATCCTACGCAACGTTCAGTGAACAGTTTGGCACATTTCCTACTTGGGGCTTCAATTGGACTTCTCAGGAATACTCTGGTTATGCCTGCGCACAACCTGGCCAACCGCACACCCTAAACCCTACCTTCTAACCACCCATGAACCTTGAAGTATCAAGGACGCAAGGTGGGCCCTTGGTACATATCCTAGGCGCGAGGTATGGCTCCCCGTTAGTCCCTTCAACACCAAAAACAGGCGCCATTTATTACTCGGGAAGATTGAGGTTTCCAGAGGGTTTTTTGGGGTTGGGGCTTAATTAGGGCTTGAGGGGTTTGAATGCTCCATGGGACCTCTCTTATCCTTCCAGAACCTACCTCTTTTGGAGGCGTCTTTGTCTAAACCCTGACTCACCTTCCCTAATCCCTAATTCCTAATCCCTAAACCCTAAACCCTAAAACCGAAACCCTAAATCCCAAACCTTAACCCTAAACCCTGCACCCTACACCCTACACCCTCAACCCTAAACCCCCATATTTGTTGCTTGAAATGGTTCAAGGGGATCCTGTCTTCGGAGTATCTTTCAGAGGTTGTAACGGTCAAGAAGAGAGTGCAGGTATAGGGTGTTCAGGGTTTAGGAGTTTAGGGGTTTAGGGTTTAGAGTTTGGGGGTTTAGGGTTTAGGATTCAGGGTGTTAGGGGTTTGGGGGTTTAGGGTGTAGGATTCCGGGCATGTCAGGTTGTTCTGCGCAATGTCATGGACAACCCTAAACCCTAAACCCTAAACCCTAAACCCTAAACCCTAAACCCTAAACCCTAAACCCTAAACCCTAAACCCTAAACCCTAAACCCTAAACCCTAAACCCTAATTTATGACTTGGGAAAGGCCGAACTGTAGTCCTTGCCAGCTCCCCCCAGCCGAGGTCTCAGATGTTGCCAACTACATTGCATCCCTTCCCCAGCGTGGCGCTGAGAGGTTCATAGAGCAAGAGCCTAATTATTATGGTTTAGGGTTTAGGGTTTAGGGTTTAGGGTTTTGGGCCGGGGGGGGGGGGGGGGGCTGTGTACGTACACGTGTGGGTGGGGGTTGTTCTAAATATGGGTCCCGTTGTAGAGGCATTTTGTAGTCGGACCTCTTCCATCAGCAAGCGACAAGCACAACAACCCCCCATGATCCCCATGTGCGAGTTAAACCCGACACCGTAAACCCTATAGACCCGAAGCCCTAAATCCTCAACCCTACAGCTTGCATGAATAGTTTCTTGCTCGCGGGAATCCGGGTCGCCGCTTCTTAGGGTTTTCAGGGCTGAGAATCTGTAAGGGTTAAGGGTTTTAGGGTTTTAGGGGAAAAACGCTTTAAGCCCTTCATGCTTCAAAGCCTCGAAGCCTCAATGTCAAAGTGTCGAAGCCTCAAGCCGGGCAGCTTTACATTGCGTAAGGCTTCAAGGTTTCGGGTTTGGGGTTATAGGGTCTATAGGGTTTAGGGGTTGGTTTGGGGTCCAGTGTCGGGGAAAAGCGGACTTAGGTTTGAGCGGTTTAGGGCACAGGCTGCGTTGTTACCGGCTGTGCTTAAATCCTGGCAGCCCAGTAGTACCCTTCGTTTTTTCCATCATTTTCGGTTCCAGGTTCCCTTACAAAGGGTGTAGGGTTTAGGGTTTAGGGTTTCGGGTTTAGGGCTTAGGGATTAGGGTTTAGGGTTTAGGGTTTACAGTAACCAACCCCCAAAAAAGGGCACCCTTATCTTGATATGGCTTCGGGGTTACCACAAAAACTCCATACGGGTGCGAGTACCCTAAACCCTAGACCCCAAACCCTAAACCCTAAACCCCAAACCCTAAACCCTAAACCCTAAACCCCAAACCCCAAACCCCAAACCCTAAACCCTAAACCCTAAACCCTAAACCCTAAACCCTAAACCCTAAACCCTAAGTCACAAAATCTCACACCACAAGGCACCGCACCGGGGCCGAAGAGTTGCTGGTGAACGCAGCGGAACTGGCCAGGCCGGGGGGGAGGGTAAGGGTCTAGGGTTTAGGGTTTAGGGTTTAGGGTTTCGGGTTTCGGGTTTCGGGTTTAGGGTTTAGGGTTTAGGGTTTAGGGTTTAGGGTCTAGGGTTCAGGGTTTAGGGTTTAGGGTTTTGGGTGTTGAGGGGCGAAAAGCTAAAGACTGAACCCCTGTAGCCATAAGCCTCAAAACGTAAACCCCTTAAAGATAGGGGTTTCAGGGTTTGGGGCTGTTTGTTGTTTTAGTGTTTTTTGAGTTCAGGCTCCAAACCCAAAATCTCAGAACCTATACTATTCATCCTGAACAACTTGTGGGGAGGGAGGGGCGCGTGGGGTGGTGGCGTTTTTCTTGCAGGAGTGTCGGCTCATTCTTGAGTCTTCAGGCTCGAAGTGGCATGTGTTTTAGGCCACCTTCCCCGCCGTAGGGTTTAGGGTTTCGGGTTAGGGTTTGGGGTTTAGGGTTTAGGGTTTAGGGTGTAGGGTGTAGGGTTCAGGGTTTAGGGTTTAGGGTTTAGGGTTTAGGGGGTTTAGGGTTTAGGGTTTAGGGTTTAGGGTTTAGGGTCTAGGGTCTAGGGTTTAGGGTTTAGGGTTTAGGGTTTATTTAGGTTTAGGGTTTAGGGTTTAGAGTATATACGAAGCTTACGCACATCCCAGGACGTGGGAGTATCGGTCCTCGGGTCAGAGGGGGCCCAAGCACTCCGAGAAATTCAGCCTCCAAAATTTTAGGGTTTAGGGTTTAGGGTTTAGGGTTTAGGGTTTAGGGTTCCCCCTAACATCAAACCGTAAACCCTAAACAACCTTAATTAGACCCCCAACAGCCCGAAGCGACCCAAGCAACGCGAAGCAACCCTCGACCCTGGAGCCTAAACCCTGTGTGGGGCCCCCTGATTTCTGAGGGGTGCTTCAGGTTCCGATACTTTGGGGTTCTTCTGGGTTAGGTGGTTTCGGTTTTAGGGTGTTATCTCGGGGGTGTCGGGCTCTTACACCATTATCCCATAGCCGCCATAGCCCCAAGCCCCGAGCTCTGAACCTTGACACCCTAAACGGTTCAGAGTTTCGGGTGTCGGGTGCAGGGTTTAGGGTAACCCTTGAGAGCCCTACGTAGACCCGAAACGCCTAAGCGAAGTATCCCTTTCATTCCCGGCACCGTGTGCGAAGGAAGCAGGCCACCTTGAAGGCGGCACCCACGACTGAGGACCTTCCGTGCGCTGCATCAAAGAAAGCGAGGGGTTCTTCTCGGAGAGCTTCGTTTGATAGCCTCCTCCGGAATAATGTTTCGCATCTGTTCTCATAAACATCTCCAGGACCCTACACTTTTGTAAACCCCGTAAAGTTCTCCTGGTTGAGTGGTTCCAAGGGGAGGTATCGATGGGTGTTGGCTGGCTCATGTGGGGGTGTCGGATGCTGGGTTTGGTCCCACTTTGTTTTCCTAAACCCTAAACCCTGAACCCTGAACCCCAAACCCCAAACCCTGAACCCTAAACCCTAAACCCTGGAGAATACATATACAAACGTCCGCGCTGGCCAGGGAGCTTTAGGATCGCTTCAGGTTCAAAGGAACTTGAGGTTTAGGGTTTAGGGTTTAGGGTTTAGGGTTGAGGGTTTAGGGTTGAGGGTTGAGGGTTGAGGGTTGAGGGTTGAGGGTTGAGGGTTTATAGAGCTCGTCAGGAACCCGAGTGGCTGGCAAGGCGAAACTATGACAAAAAATTGAGCAGCACCACCGAGACCACGATGACAAGTCTCAATTTGCTGCCGGAAGCCGCCAGC